AAGAGCTATGCCTATCAAATTATTTACTGTCGACGTCAATCCCAATAACTTCAGCTACCTATCAAACGCATATATAATAATTTAGGTTAGTATTAGACTGAACAACAACTAAAAATATCAAAATTAAGTGCACGTATTTGACTACAATCTAAATATCAAACCAATTGAACTGAAAAATAACAAAAAATTAAATAGACTAAAAACTAATAGAAAGAAGAGGTAAAAACATTAGTAGAAATTGATAAAAATCACTACACTCCCAAACATGCATGAACCCTAGCAAATAAAAAAAAAATCGGTTCCTTCCAACCTTCGTTATTTAACCGCCGCAATAATCCCGATTTTTTGTAGTGGGTGCCCTCGCTAATAAGTTGTTGCAAGCCATGATGCCACTTAATGTGGCTTTGGCCTCAGCTGCATTGTTACTACAAAGGCCATATTGTTCAGCAAAAGCTAAAATAAAATAACCTTTACTGTCCCTAATAACGTTACCACCTCTAAAACCCGAGGTTACCCTTATAATCTTCTTGAGGTTTATTCCACCTCACAAATTTGGTTAGAGATAACTTGTACTTTCTCCATAGCTATACTCATCTCAATCCTAAGAGTGAGGAAGTTGCACCTTGTGAAATTGACTATTTAGCAAGATAATTAAATATTTACATACTTGTTGGATGATAAACGTGGCAAACATATGAACAATATCTCCATACCTATTCTTCTATATATCTCCCAGGAGATCATTATTGGTAGGCACTGAAGAAGAGAAACATGAATCATATTCTTTGGTTTATACAACCACAAGCTCATAACCATTTGCCTAATGTCCCATTGTTTCACTATAATCCCACAATGCTAATTTCCAAAATAAGACCAGATTTGTTTTGCAATTTGGCTTTTGGCAGAGTAGATGCAAGATGGTTTCTTCTTTATGTACATTACAGAATATTCTAGACACAAAATTTCTATATTAAGTCATTTGTGGAAATCCTGGCATACAACACCCTTAACATGCAAAAAAGAAAGCTTGAAGGACAATTTTTTTCCCATGTCATTTTAGTTGCAAAGGAATTGTTTCTTTGCTTCCTCGGTTTTTGCCAACCTGATAGTCATCAATGTCAACATATATATCAATATCCTATATGGTGTGGACCACTGTTCATAGAAAGACATTGAAAAGTTTAACAGTATTCCAATGTCCCTCCACCAGAAATTCATGAATTTTAGTGTGCCTGGCAGGGGCGGATGCACTCTTAGTGAAGCGGTGTCACGCGACACCGCTTCGTCGAATTTTTTTACTAAATATATATATTAATACTGTGAGAAACTAGATAAGTAAGAAACAATGACACCACTTGACATAAATTGTCTCTCGGTGCATTGGTATATGCTTTATTTTGCTCTAATAAGTCAGAGATTCAAACATTAACTAGCACATTTTTCTGCAAACATTTGAAAGAGAATATTTCTTGTCTAGAAGTATAATAATTGAAGTTATTATTTTTGTACTTCTATATATTTTGACATTGCTTGCAAAAATTTCTACGTACGCCCCTGCCTGGAAGCTCTCGTAAATTGGATATATCACCTTGGCAAGAGGACCTCTACCAAACCAACTATTCGACCAAAAGGATGCATCACCCGTTTCAATCTTCCACAGAATGCAATTCTCAGCGCCATCGTCTTTGATATCCATAAGTCTTTTCCAGGTACGGGGTTGTCCACAGGACCATTATTTTGTAACAGCTGGATGTTTCATCTTGTAATACTTAGCATTAGAAACTCTTTCAACAAGGTATTCCAAGTCCTAAAGCTCAACCATCTCTCAGGAGAATAGGTATTGCAAGATGCAAATGTCTCGAAGAAATTTAAATCCATCCCCACATAAGTTTTTTCATGATTTTTAATGATATTTGTTCTTATCATCTATCTATCGTTCCCCGAAAAAGTTAGCAATGATTTTAATTTTGGGAGGATATAAGTTAGCACTTAGCAGTGATTTTAATTTTGGGAGGATATACTTATATGTGACTTAAATCTATTTATCTATCTTTTCTATCATAATAGCACAAAGTTTTAAGTGAAATATTGGTCGACATTTTTATTATTTAAAAGTATATTTTATGTTGGATAAAATTAAAATTATAATTGTTCTTAAAATTTTCATTATTTTCTGTTATTCATTGTTTAATTTGATATTTTTTAATTATTTAAAGAACCTATTTTTTCTTGTATTGCGAAATTAGGAATGTGATAACTTTTCGATTATTTTTTATTTTCTTGTATATTGACATAATAAAAGCAAATAAATCTCTTTTCAAAGTTATTAGTTTTTATTTAAATTTTCCAATTTCACATTAAAACGACAAACATTCCAAAACACACTTTGTATCTTTACTAATAATTTTTATAAGATAAAAACTTAAAATGTTATCGTTTGAGATACAAATTTTGTACTTAATCATCATTGAAGTGCACGTAGACTAGTTTATATAACAGGATAGAAACCTAAAATATAGTCTATATTGATTCATTAAAAACTCCTGGCCTAGCGAAATATGGTACAAAGTTATCATGTAACAACAGTCTACAACTTTTTGATACAACACCGTCTTTTGTCTACAATGACTTCCAGTCGGACAAAGCAGGAGTGGAGAGACGAAGACTTGTCAACTCTTGCGTTTTTGATACACCCCCTAATCCCCCAGTTGTAAATTCATCCTGAAACAGGATCTCTGTCACTCCTTCATATAGTACTACAGATGGTTTTTGTCATGATCCTGATCTATGAATCCTAGTTTTGCAGTAGTAAGTAGTTTTAGTACTGATCCAACTATGGATCATAGTTCAGTAGTAGCTAATCATGTAACATCAGCCACCCTTGGTGCCCAGTGTATCTTTTTTTGCAAATCAGTAATCTTTTATGACTAAAAACAAAACTCAGCCATTTAAAAATTTGATATTTTTTAATTTGAAAAGGGTAACTTCTAAATAAGAATCCAATTAGAATTAGGAATAGGTTCAGCCTTGCCCTTCCCTACATAGACTGTACACCAAAATCACTTTCCAACACTCGTCACCTTGCGTACACGGCTTTCACACATCACAATTATCACAAAATAACACTAATCCTAAGGAGTAATTCTCCCACACAAAATTAGGCAAGACATTTACCTCAAAACACACTAACTCAATCTACTAATAGGCCATTCCCTCGATTATCCAATTCCGAACGGCTCGAATCTAGCCAAAACAACTTCACACCATAAATATAAACTATAGAAAACTATTTCGAACAACAAAGTGACGATCTTTACAAAGAAACAAAAAATCAACTCAAAAAGTCAATCTGGGCTCGCTCCTAAGTCTAAAATCACTATACGGAGCTATTCGAACCGTCAAAACTCAATTACGGAGTCGTCTACACATAAGTCAAATTACGGTCAACTCCTTCAACTTAAACCTCCAACTTAGGGACTACGTGTCCCATTTCACTCCGAAACTCACCCGAAATCAAAACCAAATACCCCGAATCACATAACCACAATATAACACATGGGAGGCAATAAATAGGGGATCGGGGCTATAATATTCAAAACGACTGGCTGGATCGTTATATCCTCCCCCTCTTAAAACAAACGTTCGTCCTCTAACGAGTATAGAGATATACCTGAAGTAGTGAAAAGATGAGGGTAACGGCTACACATATCATGTTCGGTCTCCCAAGTCGCCTCATCGACTGGTTGACCCCTCCATTGAACCTTCACTGAAGCAATGTTGTTCGACCTCAGTTTTCGTACCTACCTGTCCAAAATGGCCACCGACACCTCAACATAAGACAAATCATTGTCCAACTAGACTGAGCTAAAATCCAACACATGAGACGAATCACCGTGGTACTTCCGGAGCATAGAAACATGGAATACTGGATGAACTGCAGCTAGGCTAGATGGCAGTGCAAGCTTGTAGGCCACCTCTCCAATCATCTTAAGAATCTCAAAAGGTCCGATATACCTAGGGCTCAACTTGCCCTTCTTCCCGAACCTCATAACACCCTTCATGGGCGAAACCCGAAGCAAGACCCGCTCCCCAACCACGAATACAACATCACAAACCTTCCGATCTGCATAACTCTTCTTTCTAGATTGGGTTGTGCGAAGCCGATCCTGAATCAATTTAACCTTTTTCAAAGAATCCTGAACTAAGTCTGTACCTAATAGCCTAGCCTCACCCAGCTCAAACCAACCCACTGGAGACCGATACCGCTTCCCATACAAGGCCTCTTACGGGGCCATCTGAATGCTCGACTCGTAGCTGTTGTTGTAGGCAAACTTCGCAAGCGGCAAGAACTGATCCCAAGGGCCCCTGAACTCCACGACACATGCACGAAGCATATTCTCTAATATCTGAATAGTGAGGTCGGACTGTCCGTCTGAGGGTGAAATGCTATAATCAACTCAACCTGCGTGCCTAACTCACGTTGTACGGTCCTCCAGAATCGTGATGTAAACTGCGTACCCCATTTAGAGATGATGGATATCGGCACACCATGAAGTCGGACAATCTCGCGAATATAAACTTGAGCCAGCTGCTTTGAAGAATAAGTAATGAAATGAGCCGACTTGGTCAACCTATTCAGAATCACCCGTACTGTATCTAACTTCCTCCGAGTCAGTGGAAGTTTTTTCCCCATTTTTTTCATTGGCTTCATTTTCAATGTAAACTCAGATACATGGGTGTTCAATTTGTTGAAAAATTTGTTCGATCCAGAATATTAAATTTTTCTTATTTTTAAAAATTTGTTGATAAAGGATAAATCTCGAGGGGTGCACAGTTTGAAACTCCTGACAACGTAACTAGATATCATCTTTCTTAAAAGCTACTGGTTTTATTAAAGCCAAATAAAACTAAAACAAATAAAACAGGAAAAAGAGAAACAACTAGGAACGGGATTCACATGATATATATCTAACGAAGAAATGAAAAAAAATGCTAGTAGTATTCTTGTCTTCATACGGCTAGCGCCAAAAAACTGATTGAGAGACGTGGTCCAACAAAGAAGAAAACGGGCTTGCAAACCAAGTGGCTCTTGCTCTTATTACTAGTTCCCCGCTCTGCTTCACAAAAAATATCTCAAATTTATAGTATCTCTCTGATCAAGCTTCAATGGCTGCATTAAGTTCAGTTTCAGTAGCGCACGTATCATTTTCCATATCTAACCCTCAAATCCCAAGAAGTTACAGACGTTTGCCTACTTTATTTGCATCAGCATCAGCATCAACTACACCTTCCCACGAATCATCTTCATCCACACAAAGTGGGAGTGTATTATCCTCAACTAATTCTCCACCAAAAGTGCCCTTTGTTGAGTCCTCTAAAACCCCGGATAATGGATTCAACTATGCTTTGGCAAATCCTAATGGAAACCCAGTTGTTAGATTTGTTCAGCACACAGAATCAACAATTGAAAGGGTACAAATTTGATCTTTTTGCTCTTTCTTGATAGTACTTACTATTATTAATATCTGTTTGTTTATTTGCTATCTAATTCTTGAGGATTAGAGGGTGCTGTGATTTTTAACTCTTTTTGGGTGTATTAATATGGGGTTTCTAAGTCTATATGCTCATCAATAGGATTGTAACCACAAAGATTCATTAATAAAATTATTTTTCTTCATATAAAAAGAAGAAGTCTATATGCTCAAAGATAGAATAACTACAAGATGACTTAAAATGGTGCCGGGCTTCCAAGCATGTTGGTGTGTTCAACCAGAAATAAATCTTGAGGATTGGAAAATGATATGATTTATTCTATTCTTTTGGGTGCTATCAAGAATTGACACTGAGTTCTAATATTGATATCTGTTCAATATGAGTAGGAATTGGTATATGCTGCATATATCTAATGCTCACTGCTTATTTATATTTGAGCAGGCAATATTTGACTTTCGTTTTCTAGCATTCCTTGCTATCGGAGGCTCATTGGCTGGTTCGCTGCTCTGCTTCCTCAATGTAATTCCTTTTCCAACCATCCCTTATTTTTCAATGTGAAGTATGAAAATATATAAAAACCATATACTATAGGTGTTTAACTGGTAAAATTGCTGCCATGTGACCAGTAGGTCACGGGTTCGAGCCGTGGAAACAGCCTCTTGCAGAAATGTAGGGTAAGGCTGCATACAATAGACTCTTATGGTCCGGCCCTTCCCCGGACCCCGCGCATAGCGGGAGCTTAGTGCACCGGGCTGCCCTTTTTTTTTATAGGTGGTTAAATTTTATATCTTAGTACTTCCTGGGGAAATTTATGACAGAAAGACTTGTGTTGAAGGCTGTAATTAACACACAAACTTCGATTGTTTTAGTGCATTTATTGTTTTTTAGACCATATATAATGGCTTAGACCGACAAGATGTTGGTTCATAGATCTTATATGATTTGACATGCTTTAGGGTGATTGGGTATGTGAAACTTATTGCTTTGATCAACTCCAGGAATTCTTTTTAATTTAGTGTATGATGAAAATGGCCTGTTGAGAATCAGACTAACATTAATCCATTGTAATTCTTGATCAGTTATCATACACTTGCATTGATAGAAAACATAGTATCTACGGGAGTCAGTTATTCCTGCCGAAGTCCTATACGTGCTCATTCTCTTGCATTTCAAATTTTAGTCTATCACTAGCTTATAATACCAATTCGTCAAATAACGAAGTTGCAGATTCAATAAACTGTTTATCCTTCATCTGGTGTGCAACTCTATCTTAACCTCTACGCTATCAGTTAATTCTTTGTCTATAGTTTACTAGGTGCAATATAGTTATCCTCAGCTAATTATTTGTTTAGGTACATTATTTTAGTCAAAGTCTTTCTCTAGTGCTTTAAGGCACAAAACATTGATTTTGGTTCATGCGCTTAATCCTTTTAATACATATAATCATGACATCACATAAGAGGTAATACCATTTTTACGGGTTCTATCAGTTGTTTTAGCAGTTAAATTCTCTTTTGTAGGGTTGTGTCTACATTATTGACGCTTACAAGGTTTATTGGACGAGCTGTGTCAAGGGAATTCACACAGGACAAATGGTTCTGCGTTTGGTTGAAGCTATAGGTGAGTTTCTGCATGATCTTGATTTTTTCAAGATCATCATGCTTGTAATCAAAAAATTGTAGAAGAGCACCTCAGTGTAGGCGACACATTCAATGATTGCATTTCAACATATCTTTTAATCAACCATCTTTTGATAACCGCTGGCCCTTTGGAATTATTTTTGCATCGCAGTTCGCAGTAAATGTGTTATCACATTCTAATCTGCCTTGGTAGATTTCCTTAACATTAGAGTTGCTGCCATTTTATCTGGATTACTCTCAGTCTTCTAGCTTAGTTTCAATTTCTAGTGGAAGATTATATGCAAAATTTATCAGTCAAGATAAGCTGATCAACACTGTAGAACTGTATAAGATATTCATCTGAAACATCACCTAGAAGCTGAGTAGAAAATCCTTTTCTCTTTAAAGTGAGCCATCTTTGGTGCTTCAATATACAACTTGTTATTCTATTCTTTGTTCCAAGCTTTGTTGGTGTACACTTGGACTTACTTCGCTCTGTTGCACTGTAATTTCCTCTGGTGGTCTTGTAAATCATTAGTGAAGTTGCTCCCTTTCAGTGAACTGCTCTTGAAGTCATAGCCTAGTCATATAAAGGTTGTGCCTATTGTGAAAGAATACTTAGTTGTCGCTTGTATGGGAGTTGCAGAATTTCTATCTAAAATGTCAATTTGAGTGATATAATACCTCATTGTTTACATCTAAACGCATAATATCTTCTTTTTATGTTCCTGATTTTACTATCCTTGTAATGCAGATGTTTATCTTGCTGGGACCGTGATGTTCATATTTGGGATGGGCTTATACGGATTGTTTATCACTAATGTCTCTGCTAATGTGGATCCAACTGCCGACCGTGCCCTCAAGCACTCTTCCTTGTTTGGGATGTTTGCTCTGAAGGTAGTCGCACTCTGGATCTTCTTGACTTACATATTTCTGTTTGCCAATCTTAACTGTTCATATACTTCCACTATACATTGTTGCTTTCTTCGTAAACTTAAGTGGATTCAACTATTCAATCCTGTTTGATTACTTGAGAATGGAAATTGTAGATGGCAAAAATGATGGTGATCTTTCAAAAGGAAAATTACTTTATTTGGAAGAGAGTTGTTTCAGCTCGAATTGCATTCATGTCACATGATCTAATATGGTGCACTTCTCAACCATAATGTATTAAGAAACTAGGTTTTACAAAATAGGTTTTAGTCTAATTGTAGCTTCATGTATCAATGAATCCCAGAGTTCTGATGGGATAGATGCCAATGAATCTCTGAGATCATTTTTGAACTTATATAAGCTCTTATGGTACAGCCAAATGAAACTCCTAAAGGTTCATTGTATCATCTATTCCTGCTAGCAGTCTGCTGAAGATTGTGGTACTCTCACGACTACAATAAATTCTGAATATCCCCCAGAAGACTAATATAAGAGGTATTGAAGATTTAATTAGATTGCTGAAGATTGTAGTAATCATAAAAAGCATAAGTTTCACGAAGCGAGTAATATTCTTTCTCTTGTACCTAACTACTGTTTTGACCCTTTAAATGTGCATTAGAGATTTGAAAGTCTAGTCCAGTTTGTGATTGAAGGAAAAATGTTGCTGTAACATGTAAACTTGTGAAGATGACTGCATCTTGCATACATCAACCATGAAACATGTGCAATTGTGGGTATAGAGTTTTCTGTTTTGTTCTCTTGTTTGAATCAGTTGATGGTGCCATGTAGGAGAGGCCAAAATGGATGAAGATCAGTTCACTTGATGAACTGAAAACCAAAGTGGGACATGTAATTGTCATGATTCTTCTTGTCAAGATGTTCGAGAGGAGCAAAATGGTCACTATAGCCACTGGTACTGATCTATTGAGCTACTCAGTGTGTATCTTTTTATCTTCTGCTTCCTTGTATATTCTCCATAATCTGCACAAGGAGTAGCACTTGACATGTACCGAACTGATGAGCATGTATAGCCAAGTAATCAAATTTTTTAAGCTAGCATTAAAAAAAATTTCCTCAAAAGTCAAAACCTTGGTTTATTGCTATGGACTTGTGGAGGAAAGAATGCTTCTCTCTTCCTCTCATATAGTTCAACAGTGTTCACTAAAAGTTATTCCAGCATCTAACATTTACCATAGATAAAAAAAGAAACAAAATAATGAGCTTCCTACATCCAACAAGAAGCAAGCCTGTATAATACAGTATTGTTGCGACACTTTCCTCTACTGTGTCAACGAGGTATTGATATTCAAATACAGGGACCTTTTCATTAACCAGTGTGCTGAATAGCCTATCGCGAAAATTAGTTGGCAAAGAATAAGAAGGAAAATTTACACAAGTGATATTGTAATTCACTGTCCACCCTCCCAAGACAGGGAAAATCGCCCATATAAAGTTAATAACCTGTAACTAACATATCTTTTTGGGTAACATTTTTCAATTAGACACCATTTTCTTCATTTGGCCAAAGAATTCACGGTTACAAATTTGTATGCAACTACATTCAACATGGACGTGAGTTACAAATTTACAGCTTATCTGGGAAGCAAAAAGGAAAAACTGCCAAAAATATTAAAAATTTTAATTGCGTCTGCCGGGAGTCGAACCCGGGTCTATTGCTTGGAAGGCAATTATCCTAACCGTTGGACTACAAACGCTTGTTTTTGTAAAAGGCATTTTGCTGTTTTATTAAGAAGCAGAAAAGAGCTGTCCACAAATTCAGAATGTAGGTTCAACAACAACAACAACGACCCAGTGAAATCCCACTAGTGGAGTGTGGGGAGGTTAGTGTGTACGCAGACCTTACCCCTACCCCAAAGGGGTAGAGAGGCTGTTTCCGATAGACTCTCGGCTCAAGAAGATGAAAAGACGACGAAAAAAGATAATATATCAGTACCATCAATAAAAACCATAGAAAAAAAATAACAGCATCACAAGAACCAAAAAATAGATGAAAAGCAAAATAATAACCGATAGATAAAACCCGACATCAAGAGAAATGAAAGAGTGGTGTGAAGTCAAAATGTAGGTCCATTTGCCTTAAAAATTCAGAAAAATATCATATGATTGAATGATGTATGCATGTTGGTTAGGCGTTGATTTCACAACAAGAAGGTATTGTATTAGACATAAGTGTCTATGTTTAGGAATTCTAAATGAGTAAATGTAGCACTAAAAAAGGGGGATAAAGAGAAACAACTAGGAACGGTATTCACATGGTATATTATATATACCTAATAAGAAATGTGTTAATATTGTCTTTTTTTGAGAGATATAAGCGCCAAAGGCTGATTAAGAGCCTGTTTGGCTAAGCTTTTGGGAGGCTAAAATTATTTTTTTGTCAAAAAAAATATTTTTTGGAAAATTTAAGGTGTTTGGCCAAAATGAAAAAGTACTTTTGAATAGAAGCAGAATTAATTTTTCTGCTTTTGGGGAGAAGCTATAAATTTTGGCTTCTTCCAAGAAGCAGAAGCAGAAAATTAATTTGTCCAAAACAAAAATAACTTTACAAAATAATTATATTTTTCAAATTATCCTTCATTAATTTAACATTTTTCTTTTCCTTTTCCTCTTTCTTTTTATTTCTACTATACAATTCTTTTTTCTTTTTTTTTAATCATATTTTTATTCTCTTTCTCCTATTCCTACGAGTAGATTTTAAACTTATATTAAATAATATATTTTGGTATATTTAAATTATCATGTAAACAATAAGTAATACTAAACACTCAATGTTATTGCTTTGGAATAATTATATTTTATATTGATTGAAATTTTTAATTTATATTTTTATTTTACATTTTATATTTTAATTGAGTTCTTTTATAATAAATGTTTAAATTTATTTTTCTTTTCTTAATAGTATTAATCACAAATTGAACCTTTATTGTCTTTTTCGTAATTTGATAGTTAAAAATATTTTTTAAAAGATTGGTCAAACATAAAATAATGACGAATTATAAAAGAATTTTTTAAAAAAAACACTTTTTAACAAAAATACATCTTTTTGGCGACTTGGCCAAAGGAAACGGGTCCAACAAAGAAAACGGGACAAGGAACCAAGTGGCTCTTACTCTTACTACTTACTACTACGCGCCAAAGCCTGATTGAGAAACGCGGTTCAAACTCTTCTTCACAAAAGTAGCTCAGTTTAATTATCTCTGTGATCAACTTCAATGGCTTTATTAAGTTCAGTTTCAGTAGCGCACGTATCATTTTCCATCTCTAACCTTCAAGTTCCAAGAAATTACAGACGCTTGCCTATTTTACTAGCTTCATCATCAGCTACGCCTTCTCACGAATCATCTTCATCCACACAAAGTGGGAGTGTATTATCCTCAACTAATTCTCCACCAAAAGTGCCCTTTGTTGAGTCTTCTAAAACCCCGGATGACGGGTTCAACTATGCTTTGGCAAATCCTAATGGAAACCCAGTTGTTAGATTTGTTCAGCACACTGAATCAACTATTGAAAGGGTACTTAGTACTAATATTTGTTTGTTTATTTGCTGTTTAATTCTTGAGGATTAGAGGATGCTGTGGTTTTTAATTCTTTTTGGGTGGTCTGAAGAATTAATACAGAGCTATAGTATTATTATGAGGTTTTAAGTCTGTTCTCTCAAAGACAGAATCACTATACTAGATTGCTTGAATTGGTGACCGGGCTTACAAAACATATTAGTGCGTTAACCAGAAGCTAATTCTTGAGGTTTGGGGTGGAGAGTGATATGGTTTGTGTTGTTCTATCCTTTGGGGTGGTATCAAAAATTGATAATGAGCCGAGTTTTAATATTGATATCTGTTTAATATGAGTGGAAAATTGATGCTTCATATTATCTATTGCTCACTGCTTATTTATATTTGAGCAGGCGATATTTGACTTTCGTTTTCTGGCACTCCTTGCTATTGGAGGTTCACTGGCTGGTTCTCTGCTCTGCTTCCTCAATGTAATCCTTCTTTAAGCATCCCTTATTTTTTTCAATGTTAAGTGCGAAATATATGGATATCATATGCTATAGGCGGTGAATGTTTATATCTTTGTGTTTCCTGGTTAAATTTATGACGGCAAGACTTCTTTTTAAGGCTGTAACTAAGGCATGAACTTGTATACTTTAGTGCACTTGTTGTTTCCAGAAAATATATAATCCATAAACTGACAAGATGTTGGTTCATAGATTTTATTTGATCTTTACATGCTAAAGGGTGATTGGGAATGTGAAACTTCTTGCTTTGAAAAACTTCAGGAGTTCTTTCTTGGATTTAGTATATGATGAAAATGGCTTGTCCAGAATCAGACTAACATTAATACTTGTAACTCTTGATCAGTTATCATACACTTGCATCAATAGAAAACATAGTATCTACCGGAGTCGGTTATTCCTAATCCATTTCCGAAGTCCTAGTCATGCTCATTTCTGTTGCATTTCAAAAATTTGTAGTCTTTCACTAGCTTATAGCACCAATATATCAAATAATGAAGTTGCAGATGTAATATACTGTTTATCCTTCATCTGTTGGGCAACTCTATCTTAACCTCTACAATCAGTTAATTCTCTGACTATAGTTGACTTAAGTGCAATATAGTTATCCTCGGCCAATTATTTATTTAGGTACTTTCGTTCTTAAAAGCCTTTCTCTAGTTTTTTAAGGCATAAAACATTGGTTTTGGTTCATACGCTTAATGCTAATCTGAATCTTATTCTTCCTTCTAATACATATCATCATTAGGAAAGGAGATAATGCCATTTTTACCCGTTGTATGAGTTGTTTATACAGTTAAATTCCCTTTTGTAGGGTTGTGTCTACATCGTTGACGCTTACAAAGTTTATTGGAGCAGCTGTGTCAAAGGAATTCACACAGGACAAATGGTTCTGCGATTGGTTGAAGCTATAGGTGAGTTTCTGAATGATCTTGATTTTTAAAAGATCATGATGCTTGTAATCAGAAAATAGTAGAAGAGCACCTCAGTGAGGGGAGACATTCGATGATTGCATTTCAATAGATCCTTAGTCACCTCTCTTTTTATGACCACTTGTCCTTTGAAATTATTTGTGCAAAATCCCAGTACATATGCTATCCCATTCTAACCTGCCTTAACAGTTTTCCTTTTCATTAGAGTTATTTGCTGCTATTTTATCTATATTACTCTCACTATTCTAGCTTAGTGTCACTTTCTAATGGAAGATTATATACAAAATTTACCAGTCGAGAATAAAGCTTATCAACACTTTAGAACTGTATGGGATATCCTGATATTTACACCAGAATCCGATATTCATCTGAAACGGCCTCTCTACCATCATAAGGTAGGGGTAAGGTCTGCGTACACTTTACCCTCCCCAGACCCCACTAGTGGGATTTCACTAGCTTTGTTTTTGTTGTTGTTGTTGTTTGAATCTGATATTCATCTGAATATCTCTCAGATGATGGATATAAATTCTTTTTCTCATCTCCCTAAAGTGAGTCATCTTTGATGCTTCAGAATACAACATGTATTCTTTCTAATGTTCCAAGATTTGTTGGTATATACTTGGACATTTATCTCTATTTAATTGAAACTCCTCTAGTTGTCTTGTAAATTATCGGTGGAGTAACTCTACCTTGGTTTGAATGCAGTGCTCTTGTATTCACGGCATTAGAGTTAGTTGCTTCTATATCATCTCGATTACTCTCGGTCTTCTAGT